AGCTCCTTTTTCTTCTCTGTTTGCATGGTAAATCTTTTCCATCCTTTCACTCTTAGTCTATGGGAGTCTTTATGGGTGAGGTGGTCTCTTGAAGGCAGCATATAGTTGGGTCCTCCTTTTTAATCCAGTCAGCCAATCTGTGTCTTTTGATTGGGGAATTTATGCCTTTTAAATTAAGAGTTGTTATTGAAAGGTGTTGATTTATTCCTAGCATTTTATTGGTTGTTTGGTTGTCTTAGGTGTCTTTTGTTCCTTGCTTTCTGATTTACTGTTTGTTTTCTGTGTTTGTTGGTTCCTTAGGATGTAGATAGCTTTTTTGTTTGTTCGTATTCTCTTCATGTGTGCCATTTTTATTATACTAGTGGGTTTAGATTTTTCTTGGGTTTTTATGGGAGTGCTGGTTATTTTTCCATGAACCAAACCCAGTACTCCCTTGAGAATTTCTCATAAGGGTGGTCGTGTGGTGGTGAACTCCTGCAGTTTTTGTTTGTCTGAGAAATATACTATTTGCCCTTCATTTTGGAAGGATAGCCTTGCAGGGTAGAGTATTCTTGGTTGACAATCTCTGGCTTTTATTATTTTGAATATATCATCCCATTCCTTTCTGGCTTTTAGGGTTTGTGATGAAAAGTCTGATACTAGCCTGATTGGGGCTCCCTTAGAGGTGATTTGACGCTTCTCTCTTGCAGCTCTTAAGATTCTCTCTTTGTCTTTGAATTTTGCCAATTTGGCTATAACATGTCTTGGAGAGGACCTTTTTGGGTTGAATACATTTGGAGATCGTTCAGCTTCCTGGATCTGAAGATCCGTGATTTTTCCTATATCTGGGAAGTTTTCTGCCACTATTTTATTGAATATGTTTTCAATGCAATCTCCTTTTTCCTCCCCTTCAGGGATACCCCCTTCTGGGATACACATGACTCGGATATTTGAGCGCTCAAGGTTGTCTGATATCTCTTTCAGATTTTCTTCAATGCCTTTGATTCTTTTTTCTTTTCTTTTTTTTTTGTCTGCTTGTGTTATTTCAAACAGCCCAACTTCAAGTTCAGAGGTTCTCTCTTCCACTTCCGCAAGTGTGGAGAACAGTTTCTGAGGCTGGGAAGTCCAAAGTCCATCTAGTGGTGGTGACAGCAACCCAGGGGTCTCACATTGCAAGATGGTGAAAGCAGAGAGAGCAGAGAGAGAGGATCTTTTTGGACTTGAGTCTGTTTGGGGACCTTTGAGCTTTCTGGATCTGAAGATCTGCATCTCTCCCTATACCTGGGAAGTTTTCTGTTACTATTTCCTTGAATAGGTTTTCAGTGCCTTTTCCTTTCTCCTCCCCTTCTGGAATACTCACAATTCAGATGTTAGAGTGCTTGAGGTTGTCTGCTATCTCTCTTAGATTTTATTCATTATTTTTAATTCTTTTTTTCCTCTTTTTTATCTGCCTGCGTTATTTTGAAAAGACCATCTTCGAGATCTGAAATTCTTTCTTCTGCTTTCTCAAGTCTGCTGCTCAAATTCTCTGTTGTGTTTTTATTTCATTGAGTGAATCTTTCATTTCTAGGAGTTCTGCTACACTCTTTTTTAAGGTATTAATCTCTTTGTAAATTTCCTCCTTCATATTCTGGATATTTTTTCTTGTTTCCTTGTGTTCTCTAATTGAGTCTTCTTGTATTTCTTCAAGCTTTCTTAAGATCATTGCTTGGAGCTCCTTTTCGGACATTTCAAGGATTCCCTGTTCTGTGGAGTTTGGAGTTTGAGCGTTAGTACGTTCCTTTGGTGGAGTCATATGTCCTTGTTTGTTTGTAGTTCTAGTATTCTTTCATTGATGTTTGGTCATCTGGTAGAGGTTTTGCTTCTTCTATTACTCTGGGGTCGGCTGGGGGGATAAAGATTTCCTCCTCTATTTTCAGGATCTACTGGTGAGTCTTCTTATATCAGTGTAGTCAAACGAGTGGCAGGTTGCCAGTAGGGTGGCCCTGGCTGCCACTGTTGTGATGAACAGTCCTTGTGGTGACAGAAGGTGTGGTGGTGTCTATATTATACTACCTTGGCTCCTGTTCCAGCTTTCCATGGTCATAGACTGAGTCCTGATGCTGTGTAGGTCTTGGCTCACTTCAGCACCTGCTGGGCTGTGTGTGCTTCCCTTCCCCCTGGGGCCTTAGACTGATCCCCCATGCCATGCGGGTCTCTGCTACCCTCATCAGCAACTGGGCTATGGGCACTTCCCTCCTGGGCCTTAGACTGAGCCCCAGTGCCACACAGGTCTCGGCTCACTTCCGTGGCTGCTGGGCTGTGAGTGCTTCCTTTCCCTCCTGGGCCTTAGATTGGGTCCTGGTGCCACACAGGTCTTGGTTCTCCTCTGCAGCTGCTGGGCTGTGGGTGCTTCCCTCCCAGGCCTTGGACTGAGCCCTGGTGCTACAAAGGTCTTGGCTCACCTTGGTGGCTGCTGGGCTGTGAGCGCTTCCCTTCCCCTCCGGGGCCTTAGACTGAGCCCTGGTGCCGGTGCAGGTCCTGGCTCACCTCCGCGGCTGCTGGGCTGTCTTTGTTTAGATATATCAAGTATCTTTTATTCCTTTCTTCCCCTTTTACTATTCGTCTTCAATGTTTATTGGTTTTTTGAGGTGGTAAGATTTAGTTTCTTTCTCTTTCTCATTTGCATTTTTGTTTCGCCAGTAGATTTTGTTCTTTCTCCTGTATTCATGATAGTGATTATCGTTTTTCAGATTTCAAATGCAGGACTCCCTTGAGAATTTCTTGCAGGGCTGGTTGTGTGGTGGTGAACTCCCACAATTTTTGTTTGTTTTTAATTTTTTTTAGTATCTCTACATTGGTTTCTGGTCATTTGGTAGAGCAGTTGTTTCTTCTATTACTCTGGAGTGGGCTTGGAGGAGAAAGACTTCCTCCTGCTTTTGTAGTCTCCACTGGTAACTCCCTTTGTATCAGTGCAGTCCAGTGTGTGGTGTACTGCCTGGAGGGTGGTCCTGGCTGCTATTGTGGTGGTGAGCCATCCTTGCGGTGGCAGAAGCTGTGGCTGTGGTTGACCACCCACGTGGAAGCAGTGTTTGTGGTGCTTTCTTGCCTTCTCTGCAGGCTGGGGGCGGGGACTGCCCAGCACTTTTGCCTAGGTCCCTGGTAATGGGAGGCTCTCTTGTCTTCTTTGTGGGTGGTGGGAGGGCTGCCTGGGGCTTTCCTCCTCCTGTTTATTAAACCATATATTTTTTATTCTTTTTGTTTTTGCTCAGAACTGGCAAGTCTAGAAAAAGTTGAAAATAGGAAAATAAACACCCATAATTCTTACGCCTAGTATGACCAGTTGTTAACATATTGCTGCATTTGGTTGCTCCCTCACTCTCCCTTTCTCTCTGTCTTTTTTTTCCCTGAACCATTTTTAAGTAAATTGCAGTCAGAATTCTTAAATACTTCAGTATGTAACTTCTAAGAATTAGAACATTCTTCCACATAACCACAACACCATTATCATCATCTGTACCATATTAAAAGTAATTCTATTATATCTAATAGACAGTCCACATTGAAATTTCCCTTATTGTTCCTGTCAATAGATCTTCTAAAGTAGGGTGAACGGAAATGAGAGTGCAGTTTGATTTGGGGGAAGTATTTGAGAACAGTCCACATTGAAATTTCCCTTATTGTTCCTGTCAATAGATCTTCTAAAGTAGGGTGAACAGAAATGAGAGTGCAGTTTGATTTGGGGGAAGTATTTGAGAATGATGAATACTTTCTAACTTTACAGATATAACTGTGAAGATAGGTGAATGTGCATGAGATTAACTCAAATTAGGAATAAAGGAGGAGAATGAGTACTTTGGGATAAGTAAAGTAGGGAAATATGTACAGTTTCAGACATGTCGAGTGGGGATCTATTAGATGTCCATATAGTCACGCGTAATGGACAATTGAAGCTTTAGGTCTAGAATGAAGGAAGAGGTTAGGACTAGACACGGAAGCCTGGGAACCATCAACACATATATGGTAGATGAAAGACGGGAGTGGGTGTGCTTACCCAAGGAATGGATATGAAATAGGAAGAGAAGAGGAAATTATATTTGTTTTTTTAGACTTCTGGAAAAATACCAGAAACCCATTGGTTATGTTTATAAGGCAATTTTAATGTCATATGTACGTTTCAGATAAATTTTCTGATTATGTCAGATGTTGCTCATTCCTATATATTTTTCCTCTTAAATAGAATTCCTTTCCTATGATGTCAATCAAACATGCAATTCAGTGGCTTTACCCATACACTATTTTACTAGGACATGAAGGGAAGATGGCTGTGGAAGGTGTTTTAAAAGTGAGTACCTGCTTCCCGTTTTTTTCTTTCCTTTCCCTTTCCGTTTCCGTTTCCCTTTCCATTTTCCCTTCTCTTGCCTCTTCTTCCCTTCCCATCTTCTCCTTTCTTCCTTCCCCATCTGTCCTATTTTTTTTCCCCATCTTTCTTCCTTTCCCTTCTCTTCTTTTCCAGGTGTGGAGGCACTGGCATGCCAGTAATGACAAGGCCTTGATAGGGAAGCAAACATGGAGGGGCTAGTGTGGTTGGGAGATTGGTTACATTGAGCAAATAAGTAAATCAGTTGAGCAAATGAGTGAATATATTGAGGATAATGAGAGCTGTGCTTCAGACTGTTGGAGAAGAGATTTATAAATATGCAAAGGATGAAGGTAAGAAAGAACCCTGAGGTGTTCAATTGGAATTAGAGATATCATTATGAACCATGTTTTTTTCAATATTTAGGTATATGAACAGACAGATATAGTAATATAGATAGTATGTGCTTGTATACACATGCACATATTTTCTAGCTGTGTCCCCTTAGACAGCCTAAAAAAAATGACACTCCAGTAGCAATGATCATACCAAGTACGTGGACGTGGGTTTCTAAATACCATTGTGTCCTAAAAGGGATCAGGACTCCTTGGAAGTAAGGCTGACTCAAGGATTAGGCCAGGGAACATGCAAGATGAACTTTGACTTTCTTATTGTGCCAGAGAGTAAGGAAATGTTCAACAAATGATGCTGATGTGTCAAAATACAGAGGAGCCAGCTTGAAGTGGCTGAACTCTTTGAGCCTAAAAAGAGTCTTTTTATGATGAGCAATTTGAACATAAAAAGAAATAATGATAGTAACTGATTATAACCCATTACATAAAATAGGAATCCATTCATTCATAGTGATATAAATGAATTAGAAAACCATGGGGGAGAAGAAAAATCTCTTTCTTAGCATAGAACGCCTACTAATATCTGTAAAAGTTATTGTGTATCACCATTTGGCAACCATCAGAGTGTTGGTTGAATTAGGCAGGAGTCATTAAAGGATGTTAAAGCTGATGTGTGGAGCTTCTATGAGAAACAGCATATTGGCATAATCTCTGAGTATCTCCCCACAAATACTCAACTGACTGCAAAATGGGAAAGTGTCATTTTTGCAGTAAACAACAACTTGATGTATTGATATTGTATGCCTCCTGAGTGTTGTGCTGTGAAGAGTATCATTTCTGGGGAAATCCTATTAAAAATTCATGATGTGAGTTTGGCTGTAAGGAAATGTTGTATTGTCCTAGATTGAGAGCCATTGTAGAGAACGAAATGCTTGTGTCCTTTAATACTGTTCAAACCATGAAAGACAGGGAAAAACTGAAGATATTATGTTCCACGTGGAAGGAGACTGAAGAGATATAATAGCTAAATGCATGATATGTTCCTTCATTGGATCTTGGACCAGATAGGAACAAGTGACATTGTTGGCGTAGTTGGTAAAACTTGGAATAGGGTCTGTAGATTGGATAGTAATGTTGTATTAGATTGATTTCCTGATTTGAAGACTTATGCAGTAATTCCATTTGCCAGAGTTATTGTTTTCAGGAAATATGAACTGACATGTTGAGAGGTGTAGGGGCATCATATCTGCAGCTTGCTCTCAAATTGTTCAGAAAAAGACCAGTGATTTTGTGTGTGTGTGTGTGTGTGTGTGTGTGTGTATGGGGAGTAGGAGAGAGGGTAAAAAAGTGCTAAAATGTTAACCCTTGGGGAATCTGGGTAAAGGCTCAATAGAAGTTCTTTGTACAACTATGCCCTGAAACTTTCTCAGAATAAAAAATTGTAAAAAGTGAATATCTAATATAACTCTTTTAAAAATGAAACTTTAAAGCAAATATGCAGTATAACACTGAGTTAAAATTTATCTGCCTATAACTTAAACTATTAACTTGAAAAGCAAGCATTTTATATAAAACGATGGAAATTGCTATAGAGCTATCATTTAAACTAATGAAGTTCTCATTTTTGTCATGGTGGTTTATAATACATTGGAATGGTTTTTAAAAATACAAGTGGCATAATTTCCTCAGTGCTATTTAGTGGTGGTATTTTCTAAAAGGCCAATCACAGTATTTGGTGTCTCATAAACTATATATTTAAAAGTGTTTACCATTGGCAGAGATTTATTGATTCACCTGAATTAATTCCTTCTTATGAAAGACAGTTTTTGTTTTTCTTATATAGTTTGGCTTAAGGTGCAGATTTCTGAAGAGTAGGTGGAATGTGAACACTAGCCATTGTGGCTGTATATGTATAGGCCTTCATTTTCTGGAGGCAAGGATTTGACAACCTTAAGCGTATGGAACAGTATTTGTTTCTCCCTTATTCTCAAATCTACAGAGTCTTTGGGAGTAGAAGCACCCTCTATGCATCTAGTAATAGTGAGAGAATGCGAAAGAGTACAAGAGTAGATTCTAGTTACTTTGGTGGGATTTTTTTTTTTTCCCTTGATTTGCTAGCCAAAGAACCCAAGGAAACAATATTTTCATTGATTGGTGATGTCAGTAACAATAATAATAAAAAAATAAAAATACTAGAAATCTGTTTCTCACAGATAATGAGAAGTGTAGTTAGAGACAGAATCTAAAAGAAAAGCATTAAGAAACAAGGGGAAAATAATGGTCAATAAAGAGGCAAAGGAAAGCAGAAGAGTTAACTGAGAATAGAAGCAGTGAAATAGCAGCCACTGATGAAACAGAAGAAAGAGGTCTTGAGGTGTGTGTGTGTGTGTGAGTGTGAGAGAGTGACAGAGAGAGAAGGAGGAGGAGGAATAGCAGCAGCAGCAGGAAAAAGAAGAAGAGGAGGAGGAGGAAGGATATTAAGAACCATTTGGAAATGGGGAAATTAATTCATAGGTTCAGGGAGTCAGGAAACTACCATCTTCTGACTATAGTTCACTTTAAGGCTTATTCCAGGTGCTGGAAAAGAAGAGAACTGGGACTTATATTTTATGTAATCATCTGAGCTAAATTGGCATTGGTCATTGGAATAGAGCATCTAATGTTTAAGATCAAAAGCTTTGATTCCAGGTGAGCTTCCTCAGTGCCTTGAAAACAAGGGCACATACTCAGTGAGGAAGAAGTGTCATGAGAAGTTCTAATAAAATAAAGCAAGTAAAGTTTTTCATGACACAACTAGGAGAAGATATTCAGCATCTAGATAATTCAGTTATGAATAAAGGTTTTTATCTTTATGAAGAAATCACTTTGAAGTGTTTTTAGTCTCTAATTTTAAAACTAGTAATGCACGTTTTATAAAGTTATAGAATACCTTTAAAGAAGAATTTTCTGAAGAAAGTAGCTAGTGTTTGCTTCATTATGTTTGGCTTTTATTTTGACCTTCCTAATTAAGGGGAACATACAAAAATGATTAAGGGTTCATATTACAAACAGAAATGATTTCAAATTTGATTGTAGAGTTTTTTAAAAAAGGGATTGGTATTACTTAATAAAGGAAAAAGTGTGATTGTCTTTTCTCAATTATATGAAAAGATAGTTAAGGGACAGTTCCAATTACTCGGTATAATCAAGTGGGGGGGGGGGGGCTTAAATTTCTCTGCCTGAAACTAATAAAGAACTTTCTTCTTGTAATATCATTACACACTAATGTATACAACCAGAATAGAGTATTACATATCTTTCCTGATGAGTGGAGCAGTCTACTAATTGGTATAATTCTTTGTGATCTGTTCTGAGCCATTCTATGTGGCCTGTTGGTTATTCAAAGTTTCTACATGTTCCTCAAAACGTTATCTTAAGATAGTGTTCATAGATAAACAAAATACTACATATCCTCAAATAATTTTGAGTTAAGAGAGGTAGAAATTAAGGAAATATTGTTGAATTTGAAAAGAATGTTTAATTAAGGAATAGAAGTATCTATTATAATAGCAAATCAAGAAGGTAAATATATACATACAATTACTTTGATAAATAATTGTTTTCTCTGCTAGATTGTCATAGAATTTAATAAACAGTTGCATTTGAATTAGATATCCATTTGAATTTTAGTGTAATTGCTTAGACTGTATTTTTAAGGAAAAATTGTTACTGAAAATGCAGTCAGCTAAAAATAAGAACACCTTTATTTATTTATTAATTTATTTATTGAACAAGCTATAAAAGTGGCTGGAATGACTTTCAGTCCCCGGATGGTACTCATCATGTGATTTTCATGTTCTAAGGACATGCTTCGGCAGTCGTAAAATAACTTCTAGCTTTTAGTTAAAGATGGCTTAAGGAAAATACTCTCATTCTGAATCTGCTATACTTTGGTTGATTTTCATGTTCTAAGGACATGCTTCGGCAGTCGTAAAATAACTTCTAGCTTTTAGTTAAGGATGGCTTAAGGAAAATACTCTCATTCTGAATCTGCTATACTTTGGTAATGGTCTGCTTTGTCACAGTTTAGTAACAAGTACATCCAAGCTTCTCATACCAAGTCTCTGTCCTACTTAGGTAGAACTCCATCATAACGATGATTAAATTAGTAAATTTCTTCGATGATTTAGAAAAGATATGCTGCCACTTATTCATTAATAATATAATCTGAAGCATAGTTTTTGCTGAGAAACTTAGAAGGACCTTGTATTTAGTGTTTTTATTCAGTTCAACAAATATTAATTTAGCATTCATTATTTGGCAGATGATAATATGTATATGAAATCTAAGGATACAGAAATAGATACAATTTGATCTCTGCTCTTGAATTTACAGTCCGATTGGAATAATCAGACATTCCAATAAGTAATTATTCTAATATTATGATTTTATAGCAGTATAGCATAATAATGAATACTCTGGTTTAAAAAAGCAATAGTGACCTGAAGTAAGTAGTGAAAGTAGGAATTAAATGGATATGAGAAATGTTTCAGAGGTGGAATGATAGAGGTTACAGATAAAATGTAGCGTGGATTTGGGGGGATTGTGAGAGAAAGAGAAATCAAAAATGTCCATGAATCCTAGCTTGGAAAAGTGAGGAGACAGAGGCTATTAAATAATATGAGAAAGTGGGGAGAAGGAGCACATTTGGAATGGGAGCTAAATAATTCCATATAGTGAGATCCTTCTGAATTTGCGGTTTCTAGGTGGGTTTGTCTAGCAGACTTGCAAATATGGATCTCGTTCTGGAGCTATCTTGATATTAAATATGAATACTTGACAGTCATTAATGCGTGGGTGTTAGTTGAATTTGTGTGAATGGATGAAACAACCCAGGGAAGCAAGTATAGTGAGAAGGAAAACTGGCTGAATACTGAACCCTGGAAGCACCAATATTTAAAGATTTGAGAGTGGGGAAAGAACCTTCTCTAGGCAGAGGAAGAACAGTCAGAGAGAGAGAAGTAGAGCAGCAGAGAATATTCTTATGGAGCATTGAGAGGGACTGTTTTAAGAGGAGAGTAATAGCAACAGTTTCAATGATGCAGAATGTCTTGTCGAATGAGAATTTTAGATTTTTCACTCAAAAAGATTATTTATTCCATTCATCCTTCCATCTAATCAATTAGCCAGGCACTGCTGTGCTGGAGATGTAGCAGTAAACAAAACAGATAAAAGTCCTTACCTTTATGGAATTTATTTTTTAGTGAAGGCAACCAACAGTCAATCAAGTAAATAAATAAGAGTGTAGTAGGTTAATTGAGGAATGAATGCCCTCACTGAGATGACATATGAATAAAGATCTGAAGGAGAGAAGTCCTGTGGGCAGGAATCATTTTGGGCAGAGGGAATTATTAGTATAACAGCCTTGAGACAGGAGCACACCTGGGGAATCCTAGGAACAGCAAAGGACAGTGTAATGGGGCAGAGTGAGTGAAGGAGAGGTGAGTGGGAGATGAGGTCAGATCATGTAGAGTCTGGTAGGCCATTGGAAGGACTTCTGCTTTTAGTGTGAGTGAGATGAATACCATTACAAGGTTTTGAGAAATGTCATATGAGTGATCATTTTAACAGGCTCATTCTGGTTGCTGAATAGTGAATAGACTGTGTAAGGTAAGGGTGAAAGTAGGGAAAAACAGTTAGTAGATTGTTGTAATAATCCAGTTGAGAGATTATGGTGGCTTTGGTCAGCTGTAAAGTTGGTAAAAAGTAGTTATATTTGGGTTATGTTTTGATAATAGAATCAACATGATATGCTGAAGGATTGAATGTAGGGTTGAGACAAAGAGTCAAAGGTGATTTCATGTGTGAAAACTGGAATGATGAGGTTGGAGGTAATCAGACCTGAGTGTTGGATGTACGAGGGTACTTCAGAAAGTTTGTGGAAAAATAGAATTAAAAAATAATACAAATCTTTTCATGAACTTTTAAAGTACTCTTGTATTTAATTTGAGATGCCTATTAGCTATTTGAATGGAAATGTCAAGAGGACAGTTACATATAAATGTCAGGAGTTCAGGAGAGAGATCTGGACTGGAGAGAGAAAACTGGGAGTCTTGAACATATAGGTGGTTTGTAAAGTCATGTAACTGGATAAGATTATTTAAAAAGTGAATGTAGATAGAAAATGCAAAAGTTCCACTCCTGAAGTACCTAACGTGTGCTGGCCAGGAAGATTAAGTAGAACCTGCAAAAGAGACTGAGAAAGAGTAAACAGTGAAATAGGAAGAAAACTAATCTATTTAAGTTGGCAAATAGGGTTTTATTGGTGGACTTACCACGAGCAGTGTTAGTAGAGTGATGGGAATGTAAGCCAAAAGTCAGTGGGCAGAATAGTAAATTGGAGATGAGGAAGCTGAAACAATGATTATCTACTACTTGTAAAATAAGTTTGATGATTAGCAGAAGCAAAAAGATGATAGACTGCTCACGGCTGATGTAGAATCAAGAAATGGCTATTTCTTATAATGGTGGATACAAGCATCATTATAGGCAGAAGGAACAAAATTTGTGGAGTACATGGAAAATATGGCTTGGCCGAGGTGGGAGAGGACATTTCCAGAGCACCATTGCGCCTTGGTTTGGAATGATGAAAGACCATATTTTCTATCCAAGAACTCAAATGATGGAGTTGCCATAATCTGAGATGGAGAAAGACTTCTGGTCGCTTTCCATCCACTCATACTTAATGCAGAATTTCTTTGTACTGAGACAGTGGGAAAAGTAGTAAGGATTGATGAAAATATTGATGATTTTGAAGATGAAGGAAAAAGAATTTCATTTGTTTGTTCATTTAGCAAACCTTTATTGACCATTGACTGTGACCCATTTGTGATTCTGGATTCTGGAGATTTGGAATGAGCCAAGTAAATTGATATTGCCCTAATGAGTTACATTTGAGTGAGGAGTGGAGGAGTATGTGTCTGAAGGTTCTGTTGTGAATGGAGGAGACAGACTGCCTGCCGAGAGAGGAGTAAATGGGCTCAGATTGACCACTGAGGAGAGTAGTAGTTGTTTGTATTAGCTGCTGAGGGGTTTTGGGAAAAGAGCCCAGGAAAGGCTGGGGCCACATATTTCTTTGGCAGCCAGCTAACATGTTATGAAGAATTTCTCTTTTCATGCTTAACAGCCTGGACAAAGGTATGAAGACAGTGGATAGCTTGACTGGGACAGGATTGGGAATTGTGAGTTTGAATATGCAGGCCTTACACACCAATATTTATCTGATTTACATCTCATTTAATTGTAATTCACAATTCAAATAATATAATTCTAAAGAAAATATATCAAAAAAGTACTGTCTGTTTAATCAAAATTCAAGAATTCATAGGAAATACTCATTAATATAGTCAGGTAAATAAACTCTGATTTTCTACTTTATGCTAGCATGTAACTTGAAAAAAATTATATGCTATCATACTCCTTTTTAATGAACAGTCCTCTAAATTTCCAATGCCAGCAAGTGTAAATTCACCTTGAAACTTGAGTTCTTTTACTATCTTAGTGTATTCTAGCCAACTATTTTTATTCTACTGAAGTATTTTTGCTTGAATTATTTTTAAGGACATAACTAATATAGCAAATGGTTCAGGGCATTAGTGTTCATTTCTAAAATATGAGTGCTCTGACCTCAGTCCTGTATCAAGATAGAATGACATTATTATAGGTGGAGTAAAAATGTATCTTTAAGCATTTATTTGCTTTTGTAGAATTTAATGGCTTTTGGTTCTAAATTCTAATGAATTTAATTACTTGGCTAGGCCTTACACCTTTCTTATCGAACCTCTCTTAAAATACAGTGTAGCATTTTCTTTTCTTTCTTTTTTTTTTTTTGCATAAAGTTAAGGTGTCAATGATTGTTATTTGTCCACTACATGAAAGCAGTTCTTACCAACTTGTGTAATACTGTGGGAATTTGCGTATATAAATTTTGTAAAGTATAGAATTTTTTTTGTGATAGCACAAATACACAATTTTTCTTAGGTTTACGGACACAGGCTAGTGATTGTCTTGACTACTATGACACCAAAATGAAGACTTGAACTGGGTTGTTATGTATAGAATTTTTTTTCTGAAGTTCTGTCATTCTGTTGAGTACATGATGATTTGCTCTTTTAGCTCTTTCACTGTAGTGATAATGTTCCAAAACTAGTGTAGGATTTTTTTTGGGGGGGGGAGGTAATTTCAGCCTATTTCATAATAAAAATGAATTAACTTTTTCGTTTGCTCTTTTAGCTCTTTCACTGTAGTGATAATGTTCCAAAACTAGTGTAGGATTTTTTTTTGGGGGGGAGGTAATTTCAGCCTATTTCATAATAAAAATGAATTAACTTTTTCATATTGAACATGCTGCTATAAGAAGGATGTAGGGATTTAATTAATTTTCAATTAGTATTCTTATTTTTTACATACTTAGCTGTGTTCTCTGTATATTTTTGATAAAACTAGTTGGTACGAGGGGGTGTAGTTAACATCAGAACATCGATAATTGGCCCACATCAAGAAAGAATCAATAATCCTAGTATTTTAAGTCCAGTTTGACAAATATTAAAAGCCCTACAGTGTAGAAGGTACTGCGCCAGATGCTGTGGAAGATTGATTGTTATAATTTATTTTAATCGGTTAAGCTATCCACACAGCAGATGGCAGAATGGTGTCCAAAAGTTCTTTTTTTCATGAATTTCAGGCAACATATTAACTTAGGTTGATTTAAGAAATCAACTGACATTCAGCATGTTTTCAAGGGTCTCATCATTCCTTTTTAGGAAACTGGAACCTTTGATTATCAAGAAATGTAGGCTATGAACTTCTATTAGGTCAGGAATTCAGTGATTCCATTTCCCATCATATAGTAAATTTTAGGGGCTGTTTTCATGTCATCTTTAATAACAGATTTAAGTAGAATGGTATTAGTCGAAATAGAAAAAAAAAATCTGATTAACTTTTTTAAATCTCTACTTTTATAATGTAGAATGAATTTCAGTTCTAATTAAGGTAGGATTTCCCAGATATCCAACATTAATACTGAAATGAAAAGTAAATGACATAATTTTCTTGTAATTTTATAGCGCTTTGAACTCCAAGATTCAGGAAGCTCTCTGCTTCCTAAAGAGATTATAAGAGTGGAGAGGATGACTGAAAACCACCTCTTCCAAGCTTCTGTGACTGTCCGGGTGGCAAACAAAGAGGTGACCATTAAGGTAATGAATCACAGGTTTATTCTTTCTGCCATGTTCTGCCTGTTTTTATGACCTAACTTGGGTTTATGATCCCTTTATAAGTCTACTTTGGCTGTATAGCACCACAACTGTATATCTGTGTCTATATACCCGTGTATTCAGAGTCACATGTGCTTGTAAACTGGAAAAGTTTTAAGAAAAATGTAGGGATAGCCCTTCATCAAAAATCCAACGTTAACTTCTAGGAACATCAAGTCAAGGGTTTATTAATGAAAGTATTTTGTACTATGGGTTGTTGATAAGAAACTGTTTTCAAATATATTTTAGCTGCTAGAGAACCTTCTTTTCAAATAAAATCTTTCTCAGCTACATGAAACAGTTAATAGTGGAGCTATTCTGGTTGAAGAGTTTTAGAAGAGGGAAATTATGTTTGGGTGTGGAGCTCCATCTGCTTGTTCTGCTTCCCTTTCTTCTAAGCCTTTCTTTTAGGAGCCTAAGAACCCCAGGAGGTCATGGGAAACCAGGAAACACAGCTTGAGAAACGCTAAGTGAATGTAGGAAAGAGTAAATGCTTGCCTTCTTATTTTGTGGCAGAGCATACTTTCACGATAATCTTTTTTGTTTTAATGTGATGTTATTAATATTCATGTTACTATACATGTTCATTCATTGAACTAAACATTGATTATGTCTACCATGAGCCATGCTCTGTGTTAAGATTTGCTGAGTGTGTACTGTATACTAGTCACTGTATTTGTCTCTTTGCACGTATTATGCCACTAAATCCAATAGCCCTGGAAGTAAGTTTTATTGTCTCCATTTTATAGATTAGAAACTTGAGATGTAAAGACTTTGTTTTATCTATGGTCATAAGCTAGAAAATACAGCTGGGATTTTTAGGCAGGGTCACTTTCCAGTGCACTCTTCTATCTCCTGATGAATGTCCTTATCCAGCTGATAGTCCAGGATAGCAGCAGATGAGCAGGGACTACATTAGAATTACTATGGAGATATAAAGAAGGAAGTAATACTGAGATTCAGGAGAAGGAGTAGGGAAGCCTTCAGAGAGAAGGTGGGGCTTGAGCTAAGTCTTCAAGAATGACATAGGCAGCTGGCAGGTTAGCTCTGTTGGTTAGAGCACAGCCTTGTAACGCTAAGGTCAGGGGTTTGGTTCCCCATGTAGGCTAGCCACACACACACACAAAAGAACAACATAGGATTTTTCCAGTAGCCCAGGAGTGGAAAAGTGATAGAACAACAGTATGTTCAGAGGCATGAGGTGTGAGCAAGCCTTCATTATTTACTTCCCTTTGGTAATGGCTCTGTAACTTCACTGCCTCCAGTCCCTTCTGGTTACCTTTCCATGTTAGCACCAGGATGATCTTTCTTTTTTCTTCTTTTTTTTTTTCTTAAATGTAAATCTGATCTTCTCCCTTCCAAGTTTCCAAGCTCTCTTTAGGGCTCATGTTGTATATAGTATGATCCAGTATAGAGTCCTTAGCAGAGCATGGCCCCCAGGAGACTAATAAGGAGAGTATAAAAAATAAAAGAAGTAGGTGTGAAAGACAGAAGAAGAGATTTTCCAAACAGATGCTTCTAAGTGGTAAACTAAGATATGAGTGAAATGGATTTGTAGACAGGACTTTTAGAAATCAGGAGATCATTGGTGACTTTGGCGATTCCAGGGGATTGATTTTAAACTCTGTGCTTATAACTGAATTCAAGAAAAAACTTTATTCTCCAGTAGTGATATTATTATTACAAACATGAAAATAAATGATTCTTATGAACATGGCTGACAACATGGGACTTTAATTTTAGAGGAATAATTGATTTAGAAGTTTGATGGTAATGATCATCAGATCTGTGAATGAGAAAATAGTTGCTGCTCTATTGAGATATCAAAAACAGTATAGAATTGAATTGAGCAAGGAATTAGTGGGGCACTTTTAAGTGGCAATTACATTCTTTAAGTTACTAATATTTTGAGAAAAGCGTATGCATATTATTTTTACCTCTCTTTAATTATAGGTGCCAGCCGGGACTAGGCCATTAAGTCAACCTTGTGCATCAGACCGTTTTATACAAACTTTAAGCCATAAGCAGCTACTGGCTGAAATGATGCAGTCCCACATGGTTAAGGACATATGTTTAGTTGGAGGAAAGGTAAGAATGGCAGTCTCACTGCAAACATCTGTTTTCTGTTTTTTTTGTTTTGATTTATTCCTTAAATGATTGTGTTTCCATTTCTAGGGTTGTGGAAAAACAGTCATCACTAAGAACTTTGCTGAAACCTTAGGATACAACATAGAACCTATTATGCTCTATCAGGTACAATGTTTATTTTTAGCACTTGGACTATAAACAGTTGTGTTTAGCCCATCAGTAGAATTTATGGGTATCCTTCCTATTAAGTTATGACCTGTTAAATTTTTGATATGGATAAATAACTGAAACAGCAATCAAATTAGAGTGCAATTATAATTATTTGGAGCTTTTGGAAATGCATTCTAGGATATCTGATATGTACAACATACCAGAGTTTGTTTTTTGAGAGATTTGTTTTATGTGCATGCATACACACACACACACACACACACACACACGGAGATTCATTTTATGTACATACACACATACACAGAGTACATTTACTGATAATTTGGAAATCTAAACAAAGTGGGTTTTGGCTGCAGTGGGAGATAATCAGGTATTCACTGGATAGGTTATTTTTTTTTATTGTGATAAAATATACATAACATAAAATTATGATTTTGACCATTTTTAAATGTACGGTTCACTGGCATTAAGTACATTCACAGTGTTGTGTTACTATCACCACTTTCTTGTTCTAGAACTTTTTCATCATCCTAAGCAGAAACTCTGTATCCGTTAAACAATGATTCCCAATTTTCACCTCCCCCTCAGACCCTGGTAACCTCTATTTTACTTTCTGTCCATATGAATCTCCCAATTCTAGATACCTCATGTAAGTGGAATCATGTAATTTTTGCCTTTTTGTCTAGGTTATTTTACTAAGCATAACATTTTCTGCATTCATACAAGTAGGATATATCAGAATTTCATTCCTTTCTATGGCTGAATAGTATGAGTATTCTGCTATAAACTTTTTGTTTATCCATTTATCTGATGATGGGCCCTTAGGTTGTTTCTATCTTTTGGCAATTGTGTATGATTCTGCTATAAACAATAAGTTCCTGCTTTCAATTCTTTTAGGTATATACCTAGGAGTAGAATCAATCGATCATTAGGTTATTCTATGTTTAACTTTTTGAAGAACGAATAAACTATTTTCCACAGTAGCTACACTATTTTACATTCCTCCAGCAGGAGTGCATGAAGGTTCCTATTCCTCGACATCCTCATCAATGCTTGTTATTTTCTGTTTGTTTTGTTTCGTTTTTGGTTTTTTATAGCAGTCATCATAATGTGTGTGAAGTGGTAACTGGTGGTTTTGGCTTGCATTTTTGTAATAACTAATGATGTTGAACATCTTTTCATGTGCTTATGGCTATTTGTATATCTTCTTTGGAGAGATGCCTATTCAAGTTCCTTGCTCATGTGTTAATTGGGCTGACTTTTTTATTGTCAAGTTCTAGGAGTTCTTTATTCTGAATATAAAATCCATTCTCAGATATATGATTTGCAGACATTTTGTCCCATACTATGGGTTGTCTTTTCACCCTCTTAATAGTGTCCTTTGCTGCACAAAAGTTTTAAATTTTATTTAAATCCAATTTATCATTTTTTCTTTTGTTGCCTGTGTTTTTAGTGTTATATTCAAGAAGTCATTGCCAAGTCCAATGTCATGAATTTTCCGTTATGTTTTCTTTTTTAGAGTTTTACAGTTTTAGGTCTTACATTTAGGTCTCTGATCCATTTTGAATTAATTTTTGTGTATGGTGTAAGGTAGGGGTCCAACTTCAATCTTCTTCATGTGGATATCCAGTTTTCCCAACATTAATGTTGAAATAACTGTTCTTTTTCCATTGGATGGTTTTAGCTCTCTTGTTAAGAATCAATTGACCATGTATGTAAGGGTTTATTTCTGGGCTTTCTATTCTCTTCCATTGGTCCACATGTCTGCCCTTATGCTAGTATTACACTATTTTGATTACTACAGTTTTGTAGTAATTTTTGAAATCAGAAAGTGTGAGACCTCTAATTTGTTCTTTCTTTCCTGTATTGTTTTTACTCGTCAGGGTTCCTTGAGATTCCGTATTAGGATGGTTTTTCCTATTTCTGAAAAAAACTGCACTTGAGATTTTGGTAGAGGTTATATTAAATCTGTAGATCACTTTGGGTAGTATTGTCATCTTAATAATATTGTCTTCCAATCCATAAACACAGATGTCTTCATTTATTTATGTCTTCTTTAATTTCTTACAGCAACGTTTTGTAGTTTTCAGTGTACAAGTGTTTTGTCTCCTTGGTTACATTTATTCCTATGCATTTTTGAATAGATTATTTTTGTGGACGTACATGTTGTATATAGTATGATAAAAAAGCAAACTTACAGCTGGTGTTGTTCTTATAGAGTGAATTTTCTGTCATGTATTTTTTTATAATGATCTCCCCTAAGACATATTCATTCTGCTAATTTTTTGATTCTATATGTCAACCTTTGGCTGGTTATGGTAGCTTCTTATTTATAGCAGAGTCTCTGTTTTTATTCTTTGGAAAATTTTGAGAGTGGATATGATACTGTTTTTATTTAAATTTTAGAATATATTTTGTGTTTTTAGTTTATTCTTTGGTTACACTTTTTAAATTGTTTCTGACACTAAGTATATTCATATGGAAAATGTTCTTATTTCTGAAAAATGGCATTTCAACCAGTTAGTTGTTATGACCTTAGATGATAGAAAATTTTGTTAGCTGCTCTCATTTCAAATGATTCTGTTGAGAAGATTCCTTTCGTGCTGCTTTATGGTACTTTGTGCCTATTGGTTGAATTGGCCAGAGTTTAGATGGAATTGTAACTACATAGTACTGGTAACTTTTACATTACAAGTAGAAGAATTTACTGTAAAGGTATGTGTGAAAATTCTCCCTGAAGTTAATTTTTTTTCTTTCCTCTGGGTAATTCAACTAATTCAGAGCACCAAGGTACTGTTTAGGATTTTGAGTTGCATTAAAAACAGTTTTTGAAACAAAAAAGAAAGCATCCTATCTTTGTACAATTCTATGGGGATCCAAATCTCTACTATTTTGTACAGTTTCGTTACCATATTTTAAGAAAGGTAAAGGTACGTAGATAAAAGTAATTAAAACAATTAACTGATTGAAGGACTTAAAAAGTTCAAATATTTACTAAGAATCTCTATGATCTTAAAAGATGAAATCTAAGAATAAGCATATGATCCAAGTTTATGAAATTATGAAGAATATGAATTAGGGTGAAGATACTTAAATGAGTTGGGGTACCCTGAGTCTTGAAAGATAAACATGTAGGGAAAAGAATTTCTACATTCTATAGCAGGTGGCAAATCTTAAAACCTACAGAAAATATATTTTGAAATGGATTTTTATAAATCGATGCTAAGTCTACTAGATATTTAAAGGGGAAGTAAGGATATTTGAGGGGTATATATCTTAACTAAATTTTTAAAGGGGAAGTAAGGATATTTGAGCGGTATATATCTTAACTAAATTTCTGGAAGATGCTGTGAAGAATACCTTGCCCTCTTACATAAGTATGCCTCTTGGTTTTTTTTTGTCAGAGATCAGAAGATAGATGGTTAGCTCAATATGCTAGTTCACCTGCCCATACTCTTCCATAGCTCGTGTTATAAATGATCTGAGGATTGCACTTTATCTCACCTACCTGTTTGCCATCAACCTTCTAATTCCCAATGAAAATGCTTTTCTACCAAACAACAGGGGGAGAAACCCAAATCATCAGTACATTTTGCAAAACAAGTTGAGATTTATTATAAATTCTTAGTTCCACTTACAGGTCACAAGCATAATTAACCTTTCCAGGTGCCATTGCTTTGAAATCACATGGAAAAGACCTTTTGAGGAAAATATTTCTTTTCTCTTTAACTCAATCTCAATTTGTTATTAGAATTATTTATAAAATTATGTACATGAATATTTTCTTTACATTAAAATAAAACTTTTATTCTAATGAAAGCTGGAAGTAATTTATGCCTTATTAATTTTTCCAAACAGTATGTTTTACATATCAGGTTTCTGTAGTCAATTTATGGTAATTTTTACAGTGTATGCTTGGTCTGTGGAATTTATGTTCATCTCATTCTGATGTCCATTAAAAGAAGAACCAAGCAAAAGATTATGTGTATATGTAATAGTTCAGATCTCTTAGCTACACTGGAAAACCACCAAAAGTATTCTGCCATCGAAGGTTTTATCTTAATATGTGAAAGAATTAGTTTAAGAGTCTGAGAACAGACTTTCTTATATATTTTTGAAGAGTGACAACAAACCGACAAAAATATCTTTTGCTTTCCTCTTCAGTTTGCTGATGGATGGATGAACAAGGGTAGGAAGATGCTATCACTAAAGTTGATGGCAGGCCATTTTAATTCTTGGTACACTTCTGAGTTATGAAGTCAGTCTCTTCTAGTTTCTGTCACAGAATAAGGTTATTTAGTCATGTATTATCAGTCTTCTCTCTGAAAAACATGGTCAGTGATTATTAAAAGACACATAAGTTTTCCTAAGGATGTCCTTTGCACGTACCCTGTCGACTTTTTAGATGTCCTACAAGGATTGGAAAAATGGTATGAACTAATCCCATATTCTGGAAACTTCTTTTCCCATTTTGCTTTCCTGCTCATTAATTTTTAGAAAAAAAAAATGTCCAGAGAAAAATGGTTTGTGAAAGTGTAGAATTTGGAAAGGAATAGAGAAATATAAGTGTAATATGCTTTGGAGGTGAATTTGTTTTTTTCTCTCTTCATGCGACTTCTTTCCATGAAGTGGATCAAAGCATATGTTAAGCACTTTATTGACATTTTCAGGTTTTGTAAATTTTTAATCTGTTGGTTTTCATGATCAGAACCATGCTCCTGAGATCAAATATAAGACTCATTTTGCTCACACTTACATACCTACTAGTGAACTCATTGATTTCTCTGGGATAGAAGAATTTACTTAATAGAATTAAAGAATGCATTTGGCTTCTATAATAATATAGTCCACATTAATAAGAGAGTTTCAGAGGTTTGACCCAACATAGAGAATTAAATGGGCACAAGTGATCCACCATCTGTTTTCCTAGATGTGGAGACTTTCCTGTTATTTGTGTATGTATAAAGCTATACTTAATCTGTGGGTTTTGCCTT